ACTTTTTTATGAGATTATGCAACCATAGAACACTTGCATGGTCAGAGGAAGAAGGGCGGAAAGGGAACCCAGCTTCACATCTTGGAAGAAGAAGCTACGGATACGTTTGATCACACCTCGCTTTCTGGTCACAAGAAGATGGACTTTGCTGCATTGGCCCAAGCCAAGTTCCTGGGTCAGAGCCAGAAGTGGGAAAAGAAAAGGACCCAAGCAGAGAACTGAACAGAAAAACCACAAGCTGCCTTCTGTAGTTCCATTCTTATCAGAACTCTGGTATCTAGATTCAATTCACTAACAAACCCATAGTCCAGATTTTTTGTGTGAATTTTTGCAAATTAATCTCTGAATTTCAGTTTCTTTATAAAATGAAGGTGATAATATTTCTCAAGTTTTTTGTTGTTGCTGTTTGTTTGTTTGTTTGTTTTGAGACAGGATCTTACTATGTAATTCAAGCTTGCCAGGGACATCCTGTGTAGCTCAGGCTAGCCTCAAACTTATGGCAATCCTCCTGCCTCATCCTCCTGAGTGCTAGGATTATAGGTCTATGCGCCACCATGCCCAGATTCAAGTTTCTTTTCTTTTCTTTTTTGGTTCCCGGGATTGAACTTGGGTCCTTGCGCTTGCAAGGCAGGCCACTGAACTGCTGAGCTAAATCCCCGGCCCAGATTCAAGTTTCTTAAAGAAAATAATCCATGTACTGTGCTTAGCTTACTGCTTAAACACAGAAAATGATCTTTATGGTTATCATATTATCGTCATTCTTATTATCATTAGTTTCATACAATCCCAAAACCCCTGAGCTCTGATCTGAGGTGACCCCTGCTTCTATACTTTTTTTCACTACTTTGGAAATAAGTACACAGAGACCAAGAATAGGCAAGTGCTCACACTTATATCACTGCCAAGCTTTTGCCAGCTGAGCTAGACTGACGTGCTTAGAGATCCAGATCATGGAGGCCATATTTGATTTGTATTCATTTGTCTGCTAGCATACTTCTCCTTTGCCAAGACAGAGGCTCTAAAACTTCTAAAGCTGATAGCTAAATTTGCCTTAGCCTTCCCAAATGATCTTCAAGTAGGACATTCTTGAGAAAAAGACTGCTTAGAGTGGGAACAGGGTGAGAGACCAGCTAGGAGATAACCCTTGCAGTAGCCCCTGGTGGTAGCTTAGGTCATGGTGAAGATGCTGAGAAGTGGTCCTATTCTGGGTGTATTCTGATGAGCACCAACAGGATCTGCTGATGGCTTCCCTCTGGCCTGTGAAAGAAAGGAGCACCATGGTAACCAGGGTATGTGACCTGAGGAGCTGGAAGGATGGAGTATTTCATCTGATATTGTGTGACTGTGTAATAGTGATTCTCAGTCAAGAGAGCATATACATTTTTATTAGATTTACCCTTATGTGTTTGATGTTTTTCTGTTTATTTTCTGGTCTGGAAAATTCAATAAGTTGTCTTTTGGTCCCAGTGTGCTAAATGTTTTTATCATGATTAAAATAATAAATTATGTGAAAAATTGAAATTCATACAATGTAACCCACCTACACTTACATATTTTTAAAATATAAAGAAGAAAAAAGTAATTTATAATAAAATAATTATTCATCATATAAATGTTCTGGCATGACTGTATTACCATACAAAATATCCATCACATACCCAAAACTATTTTTAGGGTGGAATTTCACCCCATTTAGAATCAGTGTTAAGAGGAAAATGGCACAGATTTACATTATAGCAGACTCTTTGATTGGAGATGAATCATAATGCTACTAGGAAGTACCGTCATGAGGATAACTTTAGGGCTTATGAGTATAATGAGAAAAAGACCATTTTTCTTGTGATATCTAGGAGAAAGTTTATTCAACAAATATTTACTGAGTATCTACTATGAGCCATGCACTATCCTAGTTCTTGATAATAAAACAATAAACAAAGCTGCTTAGATGATGTGCTCAATAGAAGAGAAAAGCAGTAAGCAAATAATAATGTAAGAAAGTGGTAAGTGTTACAAAGAAAAGTAAGACAAGGTAAGGACTAGAGAGCTGGAAAGTATATGTACATGTGTTTTGTTGGAGAGAAGAACAGGAAAAAAGTCTGAGCAGAGATTTTTGGCATCTGGGGTTTGAGCACCCTAGGAAGAGGAACAGGAACATGCTTGGTCTAAGGGTTGAACAACAGCAGATATTTTTTACTACCCAACATGTGCCATTTGTCACTGTATTTGCTGCCTTATTCATCCTTTTCAGTGATCGGATGAAGTTGGCAATGATATCCTCGTTGACAGAGGCAACAAGCACACAGATTACAATATATTGCAGTCAGGCTTTAACCAGGGCACCTGGTTCCCCAGCCAAGGAATTGGAGGATGAGATGCTACCCGGGGTTCTCTTCCTTTAGAGGTCTATTGAATGACCATCAGAACAACTTAGTTTGTTCAGAGAAAATGGAGGACAGAGTAGTGAACGTTTTGTTGTTTTGGTTTGGTTTGGTTTTGGAGACAATGTCTTGTTTCACAGTCCAGGCTGGCTTTGAACTCACTGCGTAGTCCAGGCTGGACTCAAATTTATGATTGCTCTGTCTCAGCCTCCCAAGTGTTGGGATTACAGGCATGGCTCACCATGCCCTGCTGAATAGTGAGCTTGAAACCATAGTCATTTGCAATTCCTTATGTAGTGTTCTAAAATTATATTGAATAAAGATACTTTTTTAAATATTATGAATGGGAAGCGCTTCAAATTAAAGTTAATGGGAATTATTCATTTTGGGGGCTGTATCTTTTTGTATTACTTTCTAATATTTTATTTTGACCATTGCCTTAGTTAATAATTGTCTAAGCAGAAACACAAACTCATTTTAACTGATTAATGCTGAAAAGTTTATAATCTTGGATTTATTGAACTTACCTCAGATTTAACACAAATAAGCAATTGTAAACTGAGGGCTTTGTGAAATATCGTTGGTGATATGTGCATCATTAATACTTACTATAAAATTTTAAAGTTCAAGTAAAAGACACTGTGTTATCTTACCCTCAGGCCCATCCGTCTAACAGCGCTTCAGCTTGTAAATGTATTTCTACTGCCCTAATGCTATAGCGTCCTGTGAAACTGAGATCCAGATACATTAAATAATAATGCTGGCTGACATTTGAGAGTTGCTACCTCTGAGCATTATTCTGAGTGCTCCACATGCTTTGAACCTTTAATTTGAATGTCACTGTTTCTAAAATAAGGGAATATTTTATTAGCTTAGGCAACCTGGTCAGTCTAGTAGTCCCAAAGTATTATCCTTAGAATAACTGGAGGTACATTGTGATATGTTAAAAATTAATTGTGGAAAGCTTTTGATCTAGTTTTGTGGCGGGGGGTTGTTTTTCTTTTTTATTAGTTTATTGATTCTTTTTAAGTATACAGTACATTTACATTCATCATTGGGATCTTACAACTTTACATGACAGATCTTGGTTCTCATTTTTCCCCACACCCCTGTCCTCTCTTCACCCCCTCCACCCTCTCCTATTTACAAAGACTTTGTTTCCATTTTTTCCTTTTCTCATATTTTTTCTTTCCCCTTGTTTCCTTTCCCCTCCCCTTTCCTCATCCCCTCCACCTTTAGCCCTTTTTGTCCTATTACACATTATTCATCTAGTTTTGAAGTGATTCACAGAGACTGAATCCCAGGAATGTATGGACACCAGTGTCACTTTCAGTAAAATTTATGTTTATACACACATTTGTGTAAGAAAATTGAAATAAAATAAATTATTTGAGCCTTTTTTGGGTAGCAGTTAAAAACAGGGAAAGAGGCAACATGTGCAGTGGTTAGGGGCATTGGGTTCAAAAGCCATTCCTTCACATGCTGCCTTGGTGAGCCTGGCAAGTTACCTAACTTCACCATGCCAAGCTTATTTACTCGTCTGTAATTTAGGCTTCCAAACAATACTTGTTTCAGGATGAATCTCCGTTAAGTGTTTGGCATCCAACAGTCACGGTTCCTTGAAAACAACATCATCATCATCATCATCATCATCACAGGGGTCTTTTTTGTTAAATGGAAAGGCAGAAGAAAAATTCCTTATGGACACAGACTACTTGAAATTACAGAAAATAAAAATAAAGTAGCCTTACTAAGATATTTCTTTTGGTATAAAACAGTGTCTGGCTAAGTTTATTTTAATTAAAATATCTTAATTCAGAATGTATTGTTATAATAGTTAAATAATGTAACCTTAGAATTAATTTTAGCAATATAGTTTTTCACATTTTGTTATGACATCATTGACCAAAAAATAGAACATTTATTATTAATGTTAGTAAATAGCTGTATTGTAATATATCCTACTCTTAGTCTTTTCATATGTCATTACCTTTTTTATTTAATTTCATAACCAGTTAGCTAGTGGATTTTTAAATAGCTGTTCTAATTTATGTGTGAGTCCCAAATCTTATACAGTTATAGAATATATATTTCTTGAACTCTCAGTTCAGTTCTTGTGTGGAAATTGCTTGGAGAGCCTGATATTAGTGTATAGAACTTCGTGGGGTTGCTCTAGGTATTTGACTGGCAGAGTTTCTTTGGAGAGTTTGTGTCAACGCATTTCTTCTGTCAGACTGAGAAATCAAACAATTAAAAACATTGTGCCGAGAGAGGCAAAGAAACATACTGCTATTAAGGACATTTCGTATATTTTTAAGGATATGGAGTTGCTAATTACCCTGATGTGATCCTTACACATTGTATGCATGTACTGAATTATTACACTATGCTGCATTAAAAAAAACAAAAAGAACACTCGAAATCCTTACAGATAAACTTGTAAGTCTGAAGAAGTAAACCTTTTACAGAGAAAATTTTCCAAAGTTAGAACATTGCATATATTTTTATTTTTTCTGTTAGATGATTTATGAATATATTATCGCCCATGAATTTAAATATCTGAATCAGTGTGTTCATAGTAATCAAACAGATATATAATAACTACTGTTTATTTTTATAAAGGTTCGGAAGTCCAGAGAAATAACATCTTGTGGATAGCCATGGCAGGAATCCATCAGATATGGGCACTCCTGCTGGATTCCGGCAAGCTGCCAAAGAAAAAGTAAGTGGCTCCATCTCTCCTTAGGTGGACTGCACTCCTTGGAGTTCACAGAATTCCCTTTCCTAGTCACCATATAACCACACTTGCTGCACTAATCAGGATGTGCTATATTAGACCACCATAACAAACAGACTGCATCCCGAGTGGCTGAGTACAAGGCTTTTTTTCTTGCTAACTTGCATAAATTCGGTGGGAAGCACTGCTTTACCAACCAGGATGAAGCATGCACCATTTGGAGCTTTGCAAATCATCCTGGCAGAGCAGGAGAGGAGGCAGTGGTGAGTCACTGGCTCCTAAAACTTCTGCTCCACTCCAAAATGACATAGCACCTCTACTCACGCTTCCTCGGCTGGGGTAAGTCCTGCGGCCACACCTAACTTCTAGGAGCCTACGAAGAAAAATCCTCCGGAGCACCCTGTAGGAGAACTAGAAATGTTTGGTGGGCCTTTATGATTAAAACATAGTTCAGGTGTCTCCGGGGGTTCCTTCAAATAGGTGAGTACTCCATGGCAGTCATTAGTAACACAGGTTTTGTCATCAGACCTGAGGTTGAATACTGGCTCTGCCACTCACTGTCTCTGTGAGTTTAAGAGGAGCCTTTTAAGCTGGGTGTGGTGGCACATGCCTGTAATCCCAGCACTTGGGAGGCTGAGGCAGGAGGATCACTGAGTTCGAGACCAGCCTGGGCTACATAGTGAGTTCCAGCTCAGTCTCAACTACATAGTGAGACCATGTCTAAAAAAATTAAAAAAAAAAAAAAA